CCTAACGCACGAATAAACGTGCTATATATATATATATATATATTTACATATATATGTATATTTCGTGATTTTCACTTCGCTTAGGCAGATAGAGGCGGGGAAACGGAAGCAAAACGCCCAACAGTCACGACGAGCCATCTTCATGATTGAGCTTCGCCGGCTGCCTTAGAGCTCACATTTTCACCAGGACTGATCACATCGAGACCGACTATTGTTTCAGCCGCCAGCGCGGATTTGGAAGGGGAAGACTTGAAGGAGAGGCTTGGTGGCCGCAAGGTTTCAGGGGCGTTCGTCGCTGCGGCCGATTTGGGCTCCTCTGGCTGCGATTTACACTGGTCCGGCTGCCCAACCATACCTACATCAATACTGCTAGCAGTTGTGACAGAGTAAAATTTGGGGATCGCCTTCTGCGTGTTGGCAGCGGGCACGGAACTCTGTTTGGTTAAACTCTGTTGGTCGCTGGAAGGACCTAGTCCCTTTTGTGATCCAGCCGGCGACAGCGTCATGTGATAGGGTCTGTAGGAGGTCTCTGCGCCGTACATTTTGTGTGCCTTGCGGTTTAATTCGGAAATGAGTTCTGTGGACACTTGGTAGGCCTCTTCAATCTCCTCCTTCCATTGGCCGATCAGAATTTTGTCCTGTAAGAAAAGGAACTAGAAGTTATTCTGTTCGCAAATGCAGAGGTACTGTAGAGGTGTAAAATGTAGATAAAGTAGACCTTCTGAATCATTAAAATCTCGTGATTTCCAAATCAGCCCACGCTGCGTCCCGAAAAATCTTGCAGCAGTAAAATAACTCGGTTCTTAAAAGACGGGCAGATTATGGCTTCTTAAAAGTATATTGTGTTGCTCAGGAATAGGAAATTTTCACAAAGGCGGATAGTCCGAAATACCTACTTATCACGAATAGAGGCAAAGGTTCGCATCCCAGGTATTTTTATAGAAGAAGAAGGCGTTTTAATAAACGGAATCTTAGTTTTAATCTTTGATGATGGACTCCGCAAGAGCCCGAAAGCTCAGAGGAATAAAATTACAATTCCGGTGATCGAAACATCTTCGTCTTTTGTACTAATTTATGGCGAAAACGATTAATCTTCTGCCTGTTTCGCTTCTAAATTATGCATTAGTAGAAACTAGATCATGCAAAAAAGAACATCCCTACAACCAAGCAAAGCCGATTGCGCCTTAAAGTCCAACTTGTTTCCGAAATTTTCAGTATCAAGCGCGACGCCTTACGCCAAGCACGTTTAGGCTGTCGAGAAAAGTTTAAGAAAACGAACATTAGGCGGGCGCTCTATCATCTCTTCGGAAGTTATCAGTCAGGATACCTCCTCTGTCTACTTTCGCACGGGAGGGGGGGAATTTTCTTCCATCTCAGCTTAAGCGGGCGTCCCCATCGCCAGTGAAATTAATTTTGGTAAGCAGTGAAGGCTCAATTAAAACTAATGCATTATGACACATTTTCTGCTGCCAGCGTTATATTATCTGTCACTAGCGTAGCCTGGAAGTCTCATTCCTTACCTTCATCAGACCCAATCTATGGATTCAATGTAGTGGAATAACCCATCCATGTTATTTTTGAAATAAATGTAAAAATTCGTAAAATTTGCGCCCAGTCATAAGGGCTTTGGCGATGGGGGCTTGGGGGGGGGCGTTTACTTTAACAGATAAGTAGCAATTTGAAAGTTACTTTAACCAGCAGTCCACGAGCTCTGTGAAATGAGGACACCTGTGCTGCATTTCATAAGTAGCCTAAGGTACGAATCTCGAGGACTCTTCGGAATATTGAGTTCAGGTTAAAAAGTTTGATACATGACACCTCTTGCATTGGCTGATCTATTAGGTGCATCATATGCGGGAAGGGAACTGCCCAGTACAGAACAGCAGACAACCTACAAGGTGCACTAGAAAGGTAAT